AGCAAGCCCTCTTATTCTAAAGATGCCCTTCCAATTTCCACCTTGCCCCCCATGGTCCGGCCACAGTGGGGGCCGTGCAATGGGGCTGTGCAGGATGGTGCTGGGCCCAGGCCAGAGGACGAGAGGGGAAGCGGACAGTCCCTCTGCGGATGCTCTGGGGCTCATTATTTCTGTCACCTCGGAGAGGGCACGTGTCCTTTGGGGCTGCTGCCCCAGTTCCCTGCTCTAACTGGCCACTGCAGCGGTCTCCTCGCCTGTCTCCCCACATCTGCACTAGCAGCCCCTCGCTCTCAGTCTCTTCACTCCCCTGGGAATGAGATCCGCAGCCTGCCAGGCTCTTTCTGGCGCGGCCTCATCCAGCACCACGTTCCCCCTCTCTCTGTAAGAGCTCCGTCCACCGGCCTGATTGGAGTGCCTCAGACTCTCCCCGCTCCGGCCTGCCTGCTTCTAGACCTCTGCGGAGAGGATTCCCTCTGCCTGGAATGCTTTTCCTCCCACTCCTCACAAGGCCAAGTGCTCCCCTCCTTCAACTGACATACCGCTTCCGCTTGGAGCCCTTCCCTGGGTCAGATCAAGCTCCATCCCCACTGCAGACTAGCACAGCAGCAGCCCGCTGACCCTCAGAGTCTGGGCTAATTATAGTCAGGCGCCTTCCTGGGTGTTTATTTAATGTCTGTCCCCACCTCTAGATTTCCGTTTCCTCAGGGCAAGGGCCTTTCTTCATCACAGGATATAACCACTGACATGAATGTTACCTGGCGTATAGTAGGTGCTCAGTCAGTGTCTGTTGATTTACTGGGCCTTCCAGCCCTCTCCTGTCTGGTTACTTCTTCAATTTGGGCCCCCACGACACCTCCTCTGGGAAACATCGCTGACCTGGGCGAGCACTGCTCCTGAGTTCATTCCTTTGTTTGTTTTTCAGTTTCCCTTTGGTCCTCATCCCCCACTGTAATCACCCTGCCCCCGTCCCCCCCCCTGCGCAGCCATGCTAATGGTTTTGTGTGTTCTCCTAACATGTGTGTTCCCTGTGTCATCATTTCTTTCGAGCAAGTGGCTTTATGCTTTAGAGCTCATTCATTTCTTACCCCCTTCCACCCAGAGCTAGGTTTCTGAGGTCCCTCCACAGGGCTATGCGTCCGTCAGGTCCCCATACATGAAACCCATCCACCTCCCAGTGATGGACTCCAGATTGCCTCCAACCCCTCCTCCAGCCTTCCCCATGTGGACACGTGTGAGGATTTGGGGAGAGGGATGGTATAAATGCAGGGAAAAATTACTAGGTCACAGGACATGTGTTTATATAATTAATTGAGAGCTCCTAGGTGGCTCTGGGGGAGCTGCGCCCACAGTCCAGGAGGGCCCCCCCGTATCCCTGCTGACACCTGGCATTCTCCAGCATGCTGACTTTTGCCAATCTGAAAAGTGGGAAATAGAGCATCTCTTGCAATATTCTTGAGTTTCAGGGTCTCCCCATAAGTTTGCTAACCTCTGGTTTCCTTGTCATT